GCGAGGGAGAGAGAACTTAACCTGTGTGGGGAACTATATCTCATTTCACTCAATGACTACTCTTCACAGTGAGTCAGCAAAAGACAGAAATCTGTTAACTCAATTGGTGTTTGGTTTCTTGATACCTTGTTTGATATCAGTTTCCTACTGCATTGAATATGATTCTAGCATTTAAAGATATAAAATGTTTTGTACAATGTGACCCCTACGTGCAAGCCACGTGCCTCATTTAGCGTGATAGCAGTCAAGGATCATTTTGACATCATTCAGTTTTCACCTTACCCAGGTAAGGTGCTGCTCCAATGCACGAGCATTGGCACTTTGAATCCTCACAACCAACCTATTATTTCCATTTATCAGATGCTAAAAACTGAGGCTCAGACAAGTGAAGTCATCTGTCCGAGGTCACATAGCCAGGAAGTGGTGGTGGCACATTTGAAACCAAGTCCCTCAGCCCCCAGAGCCCAGTGTCTTCCCTACTGCACTGCACTGCCTCATGAAAACACAGCTTCGTCCTCGCAGCTGAGCCAGCTACTCTCTCTAGAGAGAAAGGTCCAAATCAGCTGTGCTCAGCTGGATCCCTTGGAAACCTTCTTTCCCACGGGCAATGGACAGAAATAGGTCCATCACCTGATGCCCTATCGTTGCATCCTTGGTAGTTTTCAAAGGGTTAATTCAGAAAACTGGAGGTGACCCAGGCCAGGTCATAGGCTCATCCCTCATCCTTCCCACCATCTAATTGTGAAGATGCACTGACCCTTGTCCCCATCCCTGCCCCAACTGGCACCTGCCCCATCTACACCACTTTCTTCTACCCCTGTGCAGAGCTAAGGGATCACAATAGGGCAGAGGAACTGGCCAGGATGCTTGGAGAGGATAGGGGGACCTAGGCTGTAGACCTGGCTCTACTGCTGACCTGCTGCATGACCTTGGGGAAGGCCTCGCCTCTGTCCAGCACAGTGGGGGACTTGAGCTCTATATTGGAGGAGGCTTCTAAACTCTAGTGATTTGTAGGTCTGTTTGCAACAAAAGTCCAGGCTGAAATGATCAGATGTCTTGCTACAGAGGTCTCAAGTTTTCATTTGCATGGGGAGATGTTTCCACTGAATCTGACTTTATGTTTTTTCCACATGGTTAACCAGCCACCACTGCCCCTTATGGAAACGTCCATCCTTTTCCCACTGATTTGTCATGATACCTGTTGTTATGTATCAAGAGTGATTTCTGTGCTCTCTCTCTCTCTCTATTTAGAGATGAGGTCTTCCTCTGTCACCCAGGCTAGAGTACAGTGGTGTGATCATAGCTCACTGTAACCTCAAATTCCTGGGCTCAAGTGATCCTCCCCTCAGCTTCTCCGGTAGCTGGGACTAGAGGCATGTGACACCATGCCCAGCTAATTTTAAAGTTTTTTGTAGGAACGGGGTCTCGCTATGTTGAGCAAGCCGATCTCAAATTCCTGGCCTCAAACGATCCTCCTGCCTCAGCCTCCCGAGTAGCTGGGACTACAGGCACAAGCCATCATGCTTTTTCTCTTTCATTCCATTGATTCACTTGTCTATCACTGCACCAACGTCACACTATCTTATAGTTACTTCATAGTAAATCTTAGTATTTGGATGAGTCTCCTGTCTTGCTCTTCAAAATTATCTTGGCCTTATTATTGGCCTTTTGTACTCCCTTACATATATAAGAATCAGCTTGTCAAGTTCTACAAACAACCTGTTGGGACTGTGATTGGAAGTGTACTGTAATTATAGATTGGTGAGAATTGATGTCTTTATGACATTGAGGTCTCCTGCCTACGGCAGCACTCTTAAGAGACAATGGAGTGATCTGGACTCTGAAGTCAGAGCTGGGCTAGCATTCCCCATAGGGACATGGGAGGACATGGAAATCACTTCATGTCTCTGGGCCTCAGTTTCCTCAACTGCAAAACAGAGATGAGAATAGTACCCACTTCACTGCTGGTCATGAGGATTAAACAATGCATGTGAAGGGCCTAGCACAGTGTCAGCACCTAGCAGGTGCTAGTGAGTAGAACCTGCTATTGGGAATGATTATTCCCTTCCGCTCTTCTCACCAAAATTGATATCTGCCTCCTAGATGCGTTGCCAAAGATGCTTCTGTTTCTGGTAAAAGTCATGGACTCATAGGGGTGATGGGACACACACAGTTTCCTGCCATCTCCTGATATCTTCGCCCACACTGTCCTAGGAGCTCAGAATTGGGGCTGCTCCTAATTCAGGCTTGGTGAGGCATTGGGAGTGGTGGTTGCTCCTTTCTGGAGTAGGGCAGGGGAGAGCAGTGGGGGTCCGACCTCCTGGGCCCTTAGTTCTGGGCCAGCTTGGGAGGGAACTAGCCTGCTAAAGCCCCAAGCTACTAGCCTGGCCTAGATGTGAAAGACAGATAGAAAGGGGGAGAAAGATGAGATGACAGGCCAGATGAAGGGAGCAGACAGACAAAGATAGCATCCTGGATGAGATGGATGGGCAAGGCCGGAAGCCCTGTAGAGGTCACTCTGTCATGCTCCTGCCTCCAAACTCATTAATGCCCAAAGGCTTGCAGATAATTCGGGGCAGGGGGATGGCCATGCTCACATTATTAGCTCTTTCTAGAGACACTACCTGATCTGCCACCTTCCTCCCCTCTCTGGCCAGCCAGAAGAGGGGCTGTGAGAGCCCCTAGAGAAGAAAGAATGGAAAGGGTGAATACTCACCAGGCAGGTTGAGGGCTCCATCTCCAATAAGTAGCAGCAGCAGCAAAAGCCGTTGACTGCCCATGTCCCTGCTGGTGATGGTCCTGGAGGGCACTGGGAAGGAGTCCTGGCTCAAACAAGGGAACAAATAGCAGCTCCAAGACAGTGAGGCACTGCTCGCACTAGCACCACCTCTCATCTGCCTGCTGAGCGCACCACCCATCCCCAGGTGCCCAGCTCCTTACCAGCAGGCCCCAGGGTGCTTTCCAGGGCTGGGAACAACGCTGATGGGAGAGGGATGGAGGGTGGAGGTTCCCATCAGCTGCAATCAGTGAGCTTCTGGGAACTCCCATTCCAACTGGTAAATACCCCCCAGGCCCCTAATTTTCAGCCTTTGTTAAACAGCTGGCAGAACTCTGGGCCTTCCAGCCTTCCCCCCACCCAACACCAAGGAACCTGTGTCTCAGGGACATGGCTCATGTCATCCGTCTCCTACCTCCTGGGCTAAGAGTAGACTATTTGATTTTAGAGCTAGAGATCAATCTTACCCTCTCCCCATTGCACATATGGGGAAAATGAGGCCAAGTGACTCACCCAAGGACCAGGACCCAGGTCTTCTGTGATCCAAGGCAGCTCACTCTTTGGCCCATGACTGCCACAGCTTTCTCAGACTCTCTGCATTTCCTAGCTCGGGAACCTGCTGAGGCTCCCAATGGCCTTTGGTGTGAAGGTCCCAAACTGGCTTCACAGGTCCCAAGTTCCCCACCAGACTTCATTCACCTGGCCCAGAAAACCCTCTGCTTTCCTCCAGAAAGCTTCAGTGCTCCTGTCCTGCAGGAACCCTGCCAGAACCGACACTTTAACCAGTCTGTCTCCATTGCCCTAGGGTAGAGCTGCCTGTACTTGTATGAATTGGCCAATGGTGGCCCCACTGTTAGGTAGATAGTAAGGGATTCAGGTCTTCTAGGGACAAAGGTGGGTGCTGTTGCCTTGGTGCAATTGCCCCACCTGGGAAGAAGGACAATGGTGGGCCCCAGGCCCCCATCTTGGTCCTGCCCCATCCTAATCCTCTCCCGAGAGACTGCCATACCCGGGGGAGAGGGAAATATCCTATAGATCTGCCAAGCAGAACTTAGTGTGCCAGCTGCAAAGGAATACAGAGGACTCTCTAGCTCATGGGCCAAGCAGCATAGATACCAGAGAGTACGGAAATTGACCTAGAACAACACGCATGCCTAGTAATGCAACTCCCAACCATCCAATCAAAGTGGTTCTAAGGTGACATCTGAGCCAATAGGGAGGTCCCAATCCGGGCACTATAGAATGGGTCACAGACCATAACCAAACTCTCTTTTCTTGCTGCAACAATGGGTCTGGTCATCATCTGTGGCATATGTATCATGGTCTGTGAACCTATGTCTTGCTCTTGCCCTAATCCTATCTTTCTCTCCTCAATGAACCTCATTTTCGTGCTTGCCTTACTTTGGTGTGTCTGGTCATTCTTCGGCCATGAGTGCACAAAGAACCAACATTTCAGACTAAAACCTGACACCATCAGACTAGGCTGCCCAGAGTGAGGGCTGGTCTCCACCTTTAGATGGGGACAGTGTAGGTAGGGCTGTCTCCTTCATCAAACAGGGTCTCCCAACCATGAGGACCAGACTTTACCCCCCAAAATTTAGGACCTTAAGGGCAGGGATTATGTCTCTACCATTAAGTCAGAAATTTTCAGGGCTCTGATTCTCTCTCTCACTAGACTGGAAGCTCTTGAGGGCAGTCTGTGACTCTTCCATCAGACAAACAGGCTTTTGAGGGGCAAGATCTGTCTTCCTCATCAGAACCAGGGCAAGTGCCCCAAGGGGTTGGAGGTATCCACCAATTAGACACATTAATTCCAACATAAAACTTTATTGTCGATACACAGATGCCTGGTCCCACTGGCCTTGCATTCCTCTTCTTGATGCCTGGGCCCATTCAGGCCCCACCCAGCTCTGAGCTAGAGCAGGGGGCCAAGGATACCCATCCTTAGGCCGAATCCTGGCTGCCTTGGCCAGCACCCCCTTCTGTGCTCATCCTTGCCGCTAGGGCTCCCACTCTTGCCCAGCATTCTCCTCCATCCCAACTCCTCTGGACCTGGGGCTCACAGGCAGAAGCCCTGCAGATGCTGCTGCCCTCACAGCCCCCAGCCTCTGCCCAGGTGTGAGGGAGAAGACGGGCTTGGGCCAGGCTGTGCCAAGCCAGGGACGCAGGACGACGCGGTGGCTGGGTGTGTGTGTGCAGGCCCCTTGGCTCCCATCTCGGCCTCTCAGGAACTGTTCTTGTGTTTGTTAAGGAGTATGTTTGTGTTAGACTCTTGAACCTGCAAACCAACAGGTCTTCTTTTCAATCCCCTACCCTGACATGGCAGACTCTCCCTTACTCCCCTCCTCCAGGCTCAAAGCTGCCCTGGCCAGGCCTCCCAGGGAAGTAGGTCTAACTTGATCCTACCTAGTACCCTCTCTGAGCTGGGGAGCCCAGGCTGTATCCCAGTCAGATGGCGTGGGAAACAGAGAAAGGAACTAACATGGGTGTGTGCCCTTTTCTCTCCAGAAGCTTCCCCCCTCAGGAGGAGGCTGCTTTTATGCATCCAGATAGGACCAGTTTGATATCAATATTGATATTGTGGGTCCTTTGCCCACAATGGGCCTAGGTATCTGCCACTACGCATGAACTGAGCTGGCTCAAGCCACACACGCTAAGAGAGGGTAGGTTCAAAGGCGCTAAAGAAGAAACTGGCCTGGACCGAGCCTGATGGGAGGGGGTGTGACCTTGGTGAAGAAGTAAAGCGTGGCATCTAACCCGATGGGGGCCGTGACAGCTGGGGTGGGTGGCTGGGTGGGGTTTAAGAGGCAGCCCAGATCTTGGAATAAGTAGAAACCTTGACAAACGGGCCAGAGGCTGGGCTGGGCTGGGCTGAGTGGAGCGTCAGGGTGAGTACCGATTGGGTAGGAGAGGGAAGACGCACCTTATCCCTGTTGGCCAGCGCAGTGAGCAAGTCTTGCTGTTTAGTCAGCTCCCAGATGTCTGTGGAGGACCTGCTGTCGATGGACAGCATGGTCACGGACAAGTGTCTGTGCAATAGCTCTGCCTCCTGCTCCTGGTTGAAGCGGATAGAGCGCACCTCCTCCACGATCCTAGGGTCGGAGCCAGGAGTGGTTGGGGAGGGAGGGCTGCAGAGGAGGGAAGCAGCCCTTCCACCTCTTCCCTGGCATGCACCCCCCTCCACCCTCCATCTCAGCCCTAATAGAGACCCGGGACAATAGAGGCCCTTGTGTGAGATAGGAGGAACCCGGAGGTCTGGAATCCAGCTCCTCCACCAGTAAGCTGTGGGACCCTGGGCAAGTCACTGAATCTCTCTTTGTCCCAGGTGAGGGCGTGAGACTAGATGAAGAATCTGAGGCTCCGCCCATCCCTGAGTCATGGAATTAGGGGGTACCCCAATAGCCCCCCTACATGTTGAGCTCATCTCGGATCTCCTTGTATTTCATCAGGTTCTCCTGTATTGCCTCAAGCACCAAGTAAAAGTTGTCTAATGTGTTTTCTGAGAGGTTGGACAGGGGACCCCCCACAAACGGTTCCTGGTGAAGACCAGATTTCTCCGAGCGGGCCACTACACAGTGCACCAGTGGCAGCTGGTTACTTCCGTCCTCTTCCTCTGAATCTACCTGGGGAGGGGGGAATAGGGAGGGCATGGACAGCTCAGGCCAGCATGCCCTCTCACCTTTCCTGCTTGGCTTCAGGGAAGATGAGTCTCTTAGGACTGGGAAGTTCTAATGTCCCTCACTTCAGCTCCAACCAGTCTTGGCCTCCCTGCTTTCCTGTGGGAGCTTAACTTCAAACGCACAAGCCCTTCCTCCACCTCTTTGGAAATTCTCACGCTTTTCACAATTGGCCCCTCCTCCTAGATTTCACCCCTGATAAATCCTACCCAGCAAACTTCTAAAGCCCTAACTACTTTCAAGCCTGAGCTCCCAGCCTCTACCCTTTGGGAAGTACTCCTCTCCCCTCCCCTCCCCTCCTCCTGATTGAATAATACTGTAGCTAACATTTATTGAGTGCTTACTATGTGCCAAGCACTGTTTATTTACCCCTATAATCCTCATAATGGCCCTATGGGGTAGGTACTATTGTTATTCCCATTTTACAGGAGAAAAAAATTGAAGCTTAGATTGTGTAAATGCTGTAAGGTCACCCAGCTGCTCAGTTTCGAGTTGCCATAGAAACATATCTAGGAAACTGACACCCTCAGAAGCCCCAGCTGGTGAGTGAGCACTCAAGGTGGGGGGCTGCTGTCTCCAGGCCTCCACCTTGGCTTTCTCCAGGCCCTCGAGTGTGCACGCACACACATACGCACACATGCTCAAGTTGCCCTCACACACCCCCCTCTCCTGCTTTCTGCCCTCCCCATCCCATACACACCTCACTAAACTTTATTTGCGGCCGTTTCCCCTGCTCTCCTGCCTTCATCATTTGCTCCAGATTGGTGGTCACCACGACGATGAGTAGGTTGATGCCAATGAAGGCACCGATGGTGATGAAGATGGTAAAGTAGATGGCACCCCCAATCTCCATTGTGTACTGCCTTTTCTCCGTCCTAGAGGTGGCAAGCAGGGGTCCCATAACCTCCCTGGCCCTTTGAGGCTGAGATTCCTCATCTATGAAATGGGGAAATCATCCCAAGGCCTACTGGGACTTTTGTCTGTGTCACTGCTGTTGTGCAGATCTAATTCCCTACTCCTGTCTCAGCAGCTACTCTCTGATGAGCACCTGCTGTATTACCGGACATGGGCTGATTCTCTAGCCAAGCCTGCTGAAAGGTTGGGATTTGGACATCAGCATTATCAAGTTTAATCTATTAGTTTAATCTATCATTCATGTTTTTCTTATCATAAAAAATAATTCAAGTTCATTATATTATAGAAAGATCAGAAGAAAAATATATGGGTGATAAAACTCTTATCTGCTCTGAGTTACCCGCTGTTATTACCCTCTTGTAAATCTCTCATAAAATATTTTCCCCCAAAATAGTTCTCCATCTATCTAATAAAAGTAGAAGCCATCTGTGCCATGCTCTTTGCTAAGAGATTTACATTATATAGATTTTATCTACTGATCCTCACAGCAATCTATGACATAGTTAATATTGTATTGTAATCCCCAATTTCCAGATGAGGAAACTGAGGCTCAGAAGAGAGATGAAATAACTTGCCCAGAGTCACATGACTAGTGTGGTGGAGCAAAGACTCAAGAGCACAGTTCAACTTTATCGTGCGGTCTGTGATTTTTTTCCACTAACTGTATTATAACGGGTGACTACAGAAGCCCTTTACCTACTGGGCTTCTATGCTCACATGAAGGATAAAAAGAAATCGGTCAACGGGACCCACTCCCTGGAGTGGACTAGAAAGAAATAGGGCTTATACTGGGAGGCCGACCTGTAACCTCAGGCACAACTACAGACCGGTTCTCCTGTCCAAGGCCCAGCTACCCGGCAGTTTAGCATGATGGGTAAAGTCTCCACAACAGGCTCAGGGCAGGACTTTGAATGTGTGGAGTTTCAAGGTGGGCACGGCTCTAAGTACCACAAACCCAGAGGGACCAACCCCAGGGATTTCCTCTTCCCCAGTTTAAAGCCCGGGGAACACTCCTTCTGCCAGGTCATCCTCATTCCAATCCGTGGAGCCCCCACTCCCATTGAGAGCCTTTCTCCCCCTCAGTTTCCCTGCCCCATAGGAGCCCCAGCCCCTTCCTTGCCAGGCTGGAATGAGGGCCTGGCGGCCCCATCAGTACTCACAGGAAGTCACTGTAGATGTCCACCCAGCCATCCTGGGTGATGCAGATGAAGAGGGTGTACAGGGCAACCTGCATGTTCTGGAAATGCTTGGGCACGAATGCACCAAAGAGTGTGACCCCAAACACAGAGAACACCTGTGGAAGAGACCAAAGCCCCACCCTGGCTTCGCCCAAGGGCCTCGGAGACAGGACATGAAAACGGATACAAATGGGTGCTGCCAAGGGAATCCCAGGGATTCAGGCCTGGGGGCCTTTCCTCTCCTCCAGACACCCTTGATTCACAACAACCCAGGGGCCCTGATCAGGGAAGGGGAGCAGCTGGGGGTGTGGGAGGGCACTGACCAGCATAAAGAAGAGGATGAGGGCCATGATGTTGGCCATGCCAGGCACCGACTGCAGGATAACGCGGATGATCCGGGCCAGGGGCTCCACTGCCATGCACACGTGCACCAGACGTAACGCCCTGTGGCAGAGCCTCTTAGGGCCACCCCTCAGCCCTTCCCAGACCCCTCCCTCCTCACTGCCTCCCACCAACTGCCCAGAGAGGCAGAGCTGATTCGCAGCTGATAACTACCCCCCAACTTCATTCCTGGGTTCCAGACAGGTCCCCTCTTTTCTCCAGAGCTCCCAGCTCACCTGAGGGTGTAGTTGATAGAGATGACATTGAGTTCGTTAATGAAGAACCCCAAGAGCAAGATAAAGATGATAAGGAAGTTGAGGATGTTCCAGCCGTCCTGGGGGTGGGCCAGCCTCAGTGGGGTCTGTCATGCCCAGCCCATGGGTGCATCCTGAGTCTGCCCTCCCTACACCCCAAGGATAGGGGGGGTTCAATGTCCTCTTAGAAAAGGGACAATCAGCTACCATCCACTGCTGTTACCTTGCTGGCCCCCAGACATGCCACAAAACACACGTGTATGCACTGTTCCATGCATGTGTCAACAGACAAGTACAGTCTCAAACACACACAGGGAAGACTCTGATGTATACATGGCTAGTCCCTGAGCTAAGCACCCACTTTGGCTAGTGGACTGCTGCAAATGGCCTTGCCTTACAGTTAAGTGACCCGAAAACATTTGGCTGCCCCTATTTGTGTGATACACACTGCAATTATTTGTAAACTGAAAATAAATATTAGCAAAAACATCAAGGAATACAGCTTCAGCAGTCAGTTCCAAAGCGAAATAGCTCTCACAGTAGAAGGAAGGGAGACAGGCAAATTTGCGAGCCTCTTGTCCAATAAGGCACTCATTCACACAGGAATGGGAGTCGGGGGAGAAGGCTCACATGCATGAAAAACTTGACCAGTGATCCCACTTCTAGAAATATGACCCGCAGCTACTCTGGTAAAGGTACAAACTGACTTTTGTATAAGGTTGAAAAGAACCAAAGTGTCCAGCAATGGAGACTGGTTGGACAAGCTATGGCACATTCATTCAGTGGAGTCCTGTGTAGCCATAAAAAGAAAAATGAGACAGATGTCCGTGTACTGACTCAGAAAGACTGGCAGGAACTATTAAGTGACAAAAGCAAAGTACAGAATAGCGTTTATAGTACGCTACTGTTAGGAAAGGGAGGATTCAAAGTATGTACATACTTGCTGATGACTATAAAATTAAATACTGGGAGGATAAATAAGAGACTAAAGATAATAAAAGCCCCGTAATAGTCTGAAATAAAATTTTAAAAAGAAGAAAAAACAGAAAGAAAAAGAAAAAGATCACCTCAAGAGGATGGGGGTAGGGGAAAGGGGACGACAGGATAGGAGGGGAAACAAGAATTGAGTGTACCTTCTATAAAAAAATTATTTGGGGGCTGGGCGCCGTGGCTCATGTCTGTAATCCCAGCACTCTGGGATGCCGAGACGGGAGGATCGCTTGAGCTCAGGAGTTCGAGACCAGCCTGAGCAAGAGGGAGATCCTGTCTCTACTAAAAATAGAAAATTTAGCTGGGCGTGGTGGTGCGCGCCTGTAGTCCCAGCTACTCAGGAGGCTGAGGCAGGAGGATTGCTTGAGCCCAGGAGTTTGAGGTTGCTGTGAGCTAGGCTGACACCATAGCACTTGCCTGGGCAACAGAGTGAGGCTCTGTCATGAAAAAAAAAATGTATTTATTTTTACCACAATAATGACTACATATATGTGTGTATCTTTCAATATAGTTTTGACAAATACGTATCTGTATTAAATATTCAAAAAGAAAACTATTTTTAAAAAATAGTTTGGGTACTGAAGGAACACTATTTTTAAAAACTAATTTAGTTTGGGTACTGAAGGGAAACTATTTTCTAATGGAAAAAATATTCTTAAATTTATTGGGCAGTCCAATAAACACAAGCCTTCCTGGCCTCTTATGCTCAGTGAGTCTGAGCCTACAGACACACAGCAGGTACAAGTCTGCCTGTCTACAGAGCCATTCCTGTGTCCCCTCAGTACTGAGTTCCTGCCATATGCCATACTCGAAGCCAGTTCCTGAGGATATAGGATTTTTGTGAGCTGTTAGGCTCCAAGACAATTTTGAGGGAGAGGGATAGGCAGTAAATTTTAACTCCACGGGAGAGACATAAGTACACAGCCTCATGGAGACACAGAGCAGCACTCCACCTAGCCTGGGAAAGACAGGACAACTTCCTGGAAGAGAAGACATCTGAGTGAGTCTGAGAGCAGGAGGAAAGCAAGTAAATGGGGAAACCTGCAGAGGCCAGTCATCGTAACAGAGACCATGTAGCCGTAAAGCTTAAAGTATTTCTTAGTTGTCTCATTACAGAAAAAACTTGCTGACCCCTGTTCTAGAGCCCTGTAAGTTAAGGGAGATGCTCTCAGTCCCATTTCTCAGATGAGGAAATGAAGGTTTGCTCAAGACTTCAGAGCTGGGGAAGGCTGGGCTGGAGCAGGGATTGGAATTGGAACCCAAGGAGGAGGCTACACTTCTGATATAAGTTATTTTCTGCCATATCACACACATCTCAGAACTAACACTTTTTCTCCCTCCTTCCCTCCCTCCCTCTCTCTTTCTCTCTGTCTGTCTGTCTCTCTCTCTCTCTCTCTCTCTCTCTCTCTCTCTCTCGTTACACACACACACATCCTCAGTTTGCAGGGCCAGGAGTACAGGGGCAGGGACTGCAGTCCCCAGGGGAGGGGGAGGGGCCATGGCAGGAAGGGCCCAGGATCTCACCTTCCAGAAAATCCAGAAGCCATTGAGCCAGCCGAGGAGAACCTCACAGATAAGGATGGTCAGCACAATGTCATCTATGGTAGAGAACAACTCATAGTGTTTCTACATGGAAGACAGAGAAAAAGAGAGGGGCAGAGAGGTCAGTGGAGTGGGGCCTGGTTGAGCCAGGGGGAGAGGATGTCTGCTGGGGAGGGAAGGCCCATATTTCTGCTGTTCTTGGTCCCCAGCATCCTTGTCGCTCCCTTTACAGCACACTGTCCATGTGCATGCCACGCACCGTGCTGAGACCATTCACACGTCATTTCATGTTACCATCCAGGGTACGTTTTCTAAACCTGCAGGTATGTTTTCTAAAACACATGTCTGGTCACTCCACTCCAATGCTTTAAATCCTTCCCTGGCTTTCCATGGACATAGGAAAAGGCCATCCTCCTTAACATAATTTAAAGACTCTGTGAGATCTGGCCACTGGCCACCTCTCTGAACTCATTTGGTGCAACACACTGGACATTTTAAAAATATTGATTTTAGGTCGGGTGCAGTGGCTCATGCCTATAATCCCAGCACTATAGGAGGCTGAGGCAGGAGGATCGCTTGAGACCAGGAGTTCGAGACCAGCCTGGGCAACATAGCAAGACTTAATTCTCTATAAAAAAAGAAATCAAAACCAACTAGCTTGGCGTGGTGGTGCACACCTGTAGTCCCAGCTACTCAGGGGGCTTAGGCGCAAGAATCACTTGAGTCCACGAGTTTGAGGTTGCAGTAAGATATAATGACACTGCACTCCAGCCTGGGCAACAGAACGAGACTTTGTCTTTAAAAAAAAGTTGATTTTAAATAGCATAATACATACATATATATATATATATATACACACTCCTTGTAAGAAATTAAAACATCAAGGATAAGACCAAAGCCATACTGAACTGCAAGTTGGACACACAGAACTCTCTCACATGCTGTTTTTTTTGCCCAAAACACTATTATTCCCCACCTCTCTTTACCTGGCCAACTCACACTCATTCTTTAATCTTAGCTTAAGTGGCACATTTTCCAGGAAGCCTTTTCTGACCTCCCAGGTTAGGTTTGATTGCCTTCTTTCAGCTTCCATGAACTCTAGATGCTACTCGGGCATTTGTAACGACATGTGTTTGTGTGTCTGAAACAGGAACTGGGTCTGTTGTGCTTACACCTGGAACCCCAACACTGAACACAGTCAGTGCCTGGCACAGCGTGATTCTCCCTTAGTGACGGTTGATTAGATTGGATACTCTTCTGCACAGGGTGCCCACTGGCCTGCCTCTGCTCACACCGTTCTTCCCCTACCCTTTCTCTACAAATCCAATGCATTTCTCAAAGCCAGGCTCCAGAGCCCCCTCCACCATGAAGTCTTCCTTGATCTCCAGATCCTGAGAAGATCAGGGCTGACAGACCCTAGAAGAGCATCCAAGGAGCTCTTCAGATGAGGAGCCTGAGGCCTGGAGAAGCAAGTGTCTTGCCCCAGGCTCCCAGTTAGAGTCAGGCTGGTGTCCCACCTGGTGAAGGGAGGAGTTGGTGCGGAGAGCGATGGTGATGGCGTTGATCACCAGCAGCAGGGCCAGCAGCAGCTGGAAGGCGGGGTGTCGGAGCAGCTGCTTGATGTACATGCCGGTGATGTGCTCCTGCAAGTCCCAGGCGTCCTAGGAGAGGGCAGGACCTTCCTTCAGGCAGCCGTCACCATAGGAGGCCTCTGCCTGGATGTTTCCTCTCAGTAAATAGGGGTCCCTGGGGGCCACTCTAGGGGGAGAAGTTGCATGAGAGGGGATCGCGGAAGGGGGGCATCAGTGTAGAGGTCACTCCCTTCACTGAAAGTGTGTGACTGCTGGGGGATCTTTGTGGAGGTCATTGTAGGAGAATCTCTTTTGGGGGTCTCTGAGGGTGATGACTGCCATTTATAGGGGTTCCTGTGGGGGGCACTGCAAGGCACTTACTAACATATCATGGGGGGAGTCGCTGCAGGTGTCACTGCTGGGGAGGGTCCTCTAGGGACATAGGGGGCAGAGTTACCATGAGGGCCTGCTGCCATGGGCACAGCTGTAGAAGGGCCATCGTTGGGCGAGGCCACCCTTACCTTGCTACTCATGATGTCCTGGCGGTTGATGAGCACATGCTCCTCTGGCTGCACGTAGGACTCGTGAATGGTCCTCTGTGGGGGGAGGAGGTCCCGTCAGTGCAGTTACTGCTTCTCCAGACCCCATGTGGTCCTCTTGCACCCACCCTGCCCCACCCCACCCCAGGACGCCAGTGTGGGCAGTGGAGCCAGATAGAAGTCACCTACCAGTGGGGCCACATGTCTGGCATAGTTGGTGTCCGACCATTGCTGCCACCAGGCCTTTTGGTTATCGGCCATGGTTGCTCAATCTCTTCCTACTTTCAAAGAAACTTCTTTCCAAGCAGTCTCACTCCCCCTCGTGGTGATCTCACAGAGGCATCTGTGACTTCCAGCCTTCTGCATTCCACCAACGAGTTCCAGCCCTGAGAGGAGCTCCTCCCATTGGCCCCTACGACACAGAGGAAGCCAGGGATGCTGTGGGGCTGCTGGGGTCAGGGGTCAGAGGCTGCTGGGAGCAGTTCAGGTCTCCTGTGCAGCCTGGATGGAGTCCCACCTGGCCAAGGATCCCGAAGCTGGGGTGAAGCTGCGCAGAGGAGAGGAGAGAGGTGTTCTGCCCGGGGCCTTCCCCAGGGCAGCCTTCAGCCTGCACACCTCCCCGTCCCACCAGCCCGGTCCCCAGGGCTGCCCACTCTGCCCTTCTGGACAAGGTATGTTTCCCCATCTGCAAAGTGAAAGCTTCTCATTTAGTCCCCTTGGGGATGGGATAGGACACCATCCCTGGCCTCCAAAGGGCTGGAGAGAGGCGAACGTGAGTGGGGCCCTCACCAGCACAGGTCAGCCACCCAACACCCAGCAGGTGTGGAGCTCTGCGCAGAGCCAAGGCCAGTGGGCTGCGCAGGGGGCCAGCCACCTACCCTCTGGCTAAGAGCATCCCCCCACCCCCATTCTCCTCTGGGGGCAGGTTCCTGATTTTAATATGGAAGTAAAAGCACACGTAGATTCATTTTTAGAGAAATTGACTTTATTTGGTTGGAGAGTGTCCCTCATGTCAAATAAAGAATGCCTGTACAGACCTGGTTTGGGGGAGAACTGCCAAGGGGCTGAGGGGTAGGGCTGCACCCCCACAGATCTGAGGATGGGGTGGGAGAGTTTCTTCTTCAGCAAGGGGGAGGCAAAGCTCACTCTCCCCCCTCCGGGGGAGGCGGGAGTGGCGGCAGCCCAGGCGGAGGCGAGACCGTGGACTAGCTGCTTTGGCCCTGAGCACAATCCAGGGATGCTGCTCCATCCTAGAGATGTCAGAGGCTGGGGTTGAGGTAGTTCTTGGGCTACAGGTCAGGCGCTAGGGTGCTGGCCAGGGTCAGAGGTCAGGGGGCAGAGATGGGAGTGCTCCTCGGGGTCAGAGGGCAGGGGGTCGGAGGACTGTTCTCTGGAGTCAGAGGTCGAGATGTAGGAGCTTCCCTCAGCCCGCACCACTCCCCAGGCCCCCAGGCCCTCTGAGTACAGCTCTTGGTTCTGCTCCTTCCACCGGCGGAACTTCTCTCCCGTCAGCTCGGGGTCCCCTAGCACTTCCTCCAGAGCCTGCAGCTCCTGCAGTTTTGCCTGTGAGGGGAGTAGGGGCCATGATCACCCAGGGAGGGGGGCAGAACACAAGCCCAGAGCTAACTCTGGAGTCCAGTGCCTAGAACCCAGCACCTGGCCAGCCTAGCACAAGTTGTCGAGATGTGACTTTAAATCCCGACTCAGAACCTAGCACTTGGCCCAGTCTACAGCTGAGCCCAGAGCTGAGCCTGCCGTCCAGAGCCCAGGCGAGGCTGAGAGCCACAAACCAAAACCTGAAGGCCAGAGCCCAGTCCCTTGCCGTGCCAGCACCCGCAGCTGACCTTGAGTGTGCTCTGTAGCGCCCGCACACGGTGCACTCGCTCATTGAGCTGGGGGTCTCGGTTGCGCCGCATGAAAGAGCTCCGCCACTGTTCGTGGGTCAGGGGCTGTGGCTGGCCCAGAAGCGACACGCCACCCTGCCTCAGCCCCCGTACCATTCCTTCCAGTGCCCCTTCGCCGCTGTCTGTGGGAGGGGGCGGCAGAATGAGGATGTGCCCACCCAGCCCCCAGCCCAGCTCCCAACGCCAGCCCAGCACCTGCTGGGGAGCCAAAGGAGGTCCGTGGGCTGCGCTGTGTGGGGGTGGCTGCAGGGGAGGTGTCTCCATGGAGTGGACTCCAAGCTTGAGCCGAGCTGGGCTGCAGGCAGGGCGCAAGGAGAGGAGGGGATCAGCCCGAGCTCCACGCCCTGCTGTTTACCCCCCGCCTCCTACCCCGAGCCGTCCCCTACTCACCGAGGCTGAGCGGGACCCAGCCTCATCGTCAGGGTCTTCTGCTTCCGTCTCACTGTAGCAGTCTGGGGTGGGACAGGCAGGTGGGAACCCACAGGGTTTGGGAGGCAAGGAAGTGGGCTGGGGTATTTGAGGTCCTTGCTCCCCTCCCAGGAAAGACAGGTCAGGGGAGGGTTCCTCCCACCCACCCCTGTGAGACACTCACCTTCCTCTCGGGGTGGGGGAGCCCGGCCTGGAGACTGGTACTTGGAAATGCAGGTAATGAGGTGGCGCACCCACCTATGGAGGAGCAAACGGGTCTCAGGGAGTTTCCATTGGCTGAGGCCCTACTGTACACCAGGGGCTTTTTAACATCATCTTCTCATTTAATCCTCAGAGCAACTCCAAGAGGTAAGAACTCTTATTTGTCCATTTGATAGATGATGAAACTGAGGCTTAGGGAAGGGAATACCTTGACCAACCGCTGTCAGAGGGCTGGGATTTGCACCCAGGCTCCCAAGCACTCAGAGGTTGGGAGTCACGTGGGAGTAGGGCGGGGGAGGATGGCACTCACATGCTCAGATCCGTCAGGGTATCGGCAGCAAAGATGAAGGGTTTGTACATGTCATGGGTGAGCTGGAACACACTGCCAGGGAGCGAAGGGGCCTCACTCAGCCTGGGTGTGCCTGGCCCAGAGCCCAGAGAGGCTGGACCAAGCATCCCAGCCACCTGCCATGCCTCCCGCCCCTATCCCATCACCCTTCCTGTCCCTTTCTCTCCCCGCCCCCCAGCCCATCATACCCCAGGACTTAACTATTTTTTCTTCTGATCATGTCCACTTTCCAGACTATAGCTGGAGACATTGATGAGGCCCTCGGCCTTCTCATCCTGGGGGGATCACAGCGTGAGGACCAGCTTGGAACCCCAATACCCTTGAGGTGGTTCCTAGTTACCCTTGGGCTCCTGAGGGCAGGGGAGGGGAGAGGGCATCTCCTGGGTTCTCTAACTGCACGTCTCTCAGTTTCTGGGGCTCAGGGAAGGAATCTAGGGTCGGGGGAGGAGATGTGGCCAAGGGGTACATCTGAGCCAGGAAAGGGGAGCCAGAGATGTCCAGAGAAGCAGCCACAGGAGCCTGCTCCTGCCTTTGTTCCTTTACTAGACACACACAAAGCTGCTCACACCACTAAGCTTTGCAAACGCTGTCTCTCTTCCTGCTTTTCTTCCTCCTTTTCATCTGACTAACCCCCAGGTATTACTTTCTCAGAAGCTTCTGGATCTCTCAGGCTAGCTACACCAGACACCTCTGCTGAGCTCCCGCACGTCCCCTCAGCTTTTCGCTCATCTTAGCACACATTCCCTACGTTGTCCTTCGGTGTCTATTCATCCCTCTCCCCTACTAGCCTCTAAGTTCTGGAGGAGCAGAAACCATCCAGTTCTCTGTGTCCCCAGTGCCCAGCCTAGAGCTGGGTTCACAGTAGGCACCTGAATGTTTGTTGAATGAATAAACAATTGAATGAGTGGCCCATCACTGGGATGGACGGCATGTTGGAAGAGGAAGGAAAGGGGGCAGAATAAAAGTGATTTTTCCTTACACCTCCTATGATACCTTTTCCAAACTGCTTTTACATACATATTAACTCGTTTCTCTCAGAAGAGAGTCCCCCTTTTACAGATGGGAACACTGGGGCCTGGGAAGGTCTGGGGCCGGCCTATGACCACAGGTGGAGTGGATGGTGGAGTAGAGATAAGAATTGTGGCCTTGAGGTGACTCACTTGCTTGTGTATACGTGTGTGTGTGTGTGTGTGTGTGTGTGTGTGTGTGTGTGTGTGTGTACGGAGGTCTCACCTGGGGCTGGCGGTACCAGTAGAGCGTGTGTCCTTTGAGCACAAACCAGCAGCGGCGCCAGCGCGGGCCCATGAAGCCACCAGGTGCCTTGCGCAGCAGGAGCCAGCCGTCACAGTCCGGCCGGCCCAGCTGCCGGCATGACACCCGCCGGCGGCTCAGCCGTGTCGCCACGCCTGCAGCGGCGTGGCACAGCCCAGTCAGCCAGGGGCTGGCAAGGCAACCAGGCCCCCCGGCCCGCTCCCTTTCCCCCACGAGCACCCCCCACTGAGATGTTCAAACCCATGCACTGTGTTCAGAATTTACATGTGTCATCACATGTGGGATGTGATGGGGTGGGGATGACCCTTCCTATTTTAGAGACAAGGAAACTGAAGATTAGAGATAAGCCGTTTGCTCGGTCACAGAGCTGGTGAAAGGCGTGGGCTGGGAGCACGGGTCTGTCTGACCCCAGAAACAGCTGTTTCCAGGAGAGGCTGTGTGTGTGTGTGGGGGGGGGTCTTTCCCAGTACTGTAAAGATCTAAGAGCCCCTCATATGGGGGGGACCCCCACCCAGTCAGGTGCACCTCATACCTTTTGATTTCTTCCGACCAAGAGCAGGACTCTGCAAGGACAATAAATGGATTAGAGAGGGTCTAGGTCCAGAGCCCATACCCCCCCTTGCTGAGACCCTGAGCTCACCTTGTCAGGGCATCGTGGGGGCCCTGGAGCCTCAGGAGTCTCTGCTACCCCTGCTGGGGGTGTGGCTGGGAGTGTAGGGAGGGTGGGCAGGGGCTCAGGATCAAGGGAGGTAGAGTCTGTCCCGGAGGGAGGAGAGAGCAGGGAGGTCCATGAGCCCAGGCCTGGGGGTGGGGTAGTGTCAGCACCAAGGGGTCAGAACCGGGCACCCACCAGCTGGCAGGGCTTTGAAACTACCTCTCCAGGCAGGGCTGGGCCCAGGAATTGGGTTTGAAGTCAAATCGAAGGCAAAGAGGTCTTCAGATGAGGCCCTGGGGAGGGCAAGCAGAGATGAGATGAGCCCCATGGTCCCCCCACCAAGACACACCCGGAGCAGAGTCTGTTACCTGGGAGACAAGGAGGCCAGGGACGGCGACTGGCTCCTCGGGTGTGGGCTGTCCAGGGCCTGTTGGGGTGTCTGGGGAACAACCAGAAACAGGGTGATGGAGCTGAGACAGGGGTCTGAAAGCAGGTGGGGGTGGGGGCGGGGGCAGGTACCTGTGGGGGGGTCTCTGGCACAGGGATCTTCTTCAGGACTAAGCTGACCCCGGCTGGCTCCCGTAGCAGCTCCCTCACCACATTCTTATGGGGCCAGGCCACCTAGGGTAGAGGGCAGGAGGCCAGGCAGAGACACTGGTCTGGCATCTAGTTGGGCAGGGGGCTCGGGAGCAACCGCCGATTCTCGCCCTCGCTCACAGCTCCCTAAGCCTCCCACTCTGCCTCCCCGCATGCCACCTCCAGGGAGCCTCCTGGGCCCTTTACCTCAGCTCTGCAGAGACTGCTCGGACCTCCCTGAGCTGGCCCCTCTCACGGAAGGCAGCTCCCACAGCCCTGGTCTCCCCATGGGGCAGAGCCCTTGGTTGCTTTCCCTGCCCCAGCCCTGGGTTCTACCCTGTGCCTCTACGTCCCACCACGTCCCCGTCCTCACTCACCACCACCTGCTCGTTGATCTGGACAACCTCGTCTCCAGGCAAGATCTGCAGTCGGGACTCGGTGGTGACCTGGCATGGGGAATGGGGCCGGAAGCTGGCTTGGCTGGTGGATGGGAGAGCTTGGGGGTGGGTGTCTGAGAAGGGTGTGGGGCTCTCACCTGGGTGCCCACTCGGGACACGAAGTGCTGGCAGTTGCTGGTGGTGTGGATTTCCAGGCCCTGCAGAGTCAGAGGCTGCAGTCACCCAGGGCTGGGGGGCGGCAGGGCCAGTGCCTGGACTCTAAGGTAGGTGGAACTGGGGAAAGAGCTGGCCCAAGCTGGCACTGCCCCAACTTCTGTGTGACCCTGGGCTTGCTGTGCCTCCTCCTCTAATAAGGGCCAGAGGGAAGCTGGAGACACTGATTTCTGAGGTACCAGCTTCTCAGCAACCTTCCTGGAAGGATAGGCAGGGCCAGGGCTCTGGTTTCTTAAGTTGGTGAAAGATTAAAGTGGACAGGCCCATGCCCTCTCCTTTCCCCCTGACCTGCCCAGAGCTCATGCCAGGTCTGTGTCCACGGCTGGAACGTGCCACCTGAGACCATGCCAGTGCAGCCCCTCAGGATGGGGCAGGAGCAGAGTAACAGTGAGACCCCAGACAAGTCCTCTGGGCCCACATTTTAACATCTGTACAAAAAGGCCTTCCAGCCACAGCAGTAGAAGACTCTGTGGGTAAACTGGAAGAATGAGGAGGGGGAAAAAAAATGAAAAAAAAAAATAAACAAAAAAAGAAAAAGGATTCTGTGGGATTCTGGACCATATTTCAGGGCCCCAGACAAGGCTGCCAAGGGGTCAGAAGTGAGAGGTGAGAGGTCAGGGCTCACCAAAGGATCGTCCAGCTGCACCCGCTCAAGCACAGCCCTCTGCTCCAGCAGCTCCTCCGGGCTGTAGCTCAGGATGTTGTGGCAGATCGTGGCCACCTCGCTGCACTGGGGATGGTGGGGGAGGAGAGCAGGCTGTCTAGTCTGAGCTCACCCCCCCATCCCCGCACCCCTCTCAGCCCCACAGAACCCCACAGACTCACGATCCTCAGGACTGTGCTCTCCTTCGCAGCTGCTGGGCAGTCCTGGAAGCAGAGTGAGAGAGTGGGGGCCTCCCCTGATTTGGGGTGGTAACGGGGGGTGCCTTCTCCTGGGGGCAGGTGGCATTCCCCACAGTCCCTCCCTGCTTCTCCTACGCTGGCCCCCTGCCCAGAACTATAGGTCCTCAGGGTTTCAACCCCAAGGACTCATCCCCCTGACACCAGGCCCCTGGAAGTCACCACCCATGCCTTCCCCTCCCACCTCCTCCAGAGACAAACTTCCTGAGCTTCCCCTGCCAGCTAGGAAACCCCAGGCCCCCTTGCCCCGTACCCAGCAGTCGGGCCTGCTCTCTTCCTGCCTTGCTCGTCCCAGCCCTCACACCCGAACCTGGGCTGATTCACAGGTTATAAAAAGCTCAAGCCTGGCCTTGTTTCTAGGGCATGGGCCAAACCTGGCCCTTGGATCTCTTACCTCCTGCAAGGCCTGGCCCAGCTCGCCACACAACTCCCCGATCTCCTGGCAGGCTGAGAAATCATTTAAGTGGGAGAAGAGGTACCTGGTGGGGGAGGATGGCACAGTGGTCAAGGGACTGTGCTTAACAACCTGGAGCTGATCACTCACCTGAGACTTGGGGATGATACCTGCTCCGATGGGTTTGGACTGGAGCAGAGGAGATGACTGACACACCTACAGAGCTTAGCACAGGACTTATTTGTCATGTGCCTACTATGTGCCAGGCCCGGTTCTGGGCACCAGGAAGACAGATGTTAAAGACATAATGACACCAATAATGATTGAACTTTAACTGTAACGAATGTTGTAAAATGAGCTCTGAGACTGTCTAACAGGGAAGGCTTCCCTCAAGAGGTGACATTGAGGTGGGAACTGTGGGACAAGCAGCAGCCAGTGAAGGGGGTGGGAAGCTCCATGCAATGGTTGTTGATAGACTGTTATGATTACAAACTGGAGGGTGGGTGGGAACCCAAGTGTCCCAGGGCCCCTGCACAGACTGACTAACCTCTTTGCCCTGCTCGGCCATATCTGAACAAGAGCTAAGCTCTATTTTTCTCTCTCAGGCCCTAGAGAAAGCCAAGGATGGGAAGGGTCCCCTCACCAGTCACCCCAAGCCAGGTACCTGTTAAGCCAGAAGAGGAGGGCATGGGCCTCACGCACCAGCTCCACAGCCGCACTGAGGACATCGGCAGGGGTCTCGGCACAGTCCCCCAGGCGGCCCTGGACTAAGCTCTGGAAGGCATGGGTCCCCTCCAGCAACGCCTCTGTCAGGCTTTGCAGGTTCTCTGTCTGTAGTCTGGAGCTCTGTGCCAGAAGGAGGCAGGTCACCTCCCTGGCAGCAGCCAGCCCCCCATCAGCAACCCCCGGGGTGGTGGAAGCTGCAGCCAGCGTGGCCGGCACTCACCAGGGCCCGGAGCTGTTCCACGCCTTCCAGGATGAGCTCCTGGTGGCCCAGAGGCCACACAGTTAGAGCCTCGAGGCTGCGGGGGCAGAGCTGGAGCAGGTACTTGCCAGGCAGCTGCCAGTCCTCAAAGGGATAGTCCTGCAGGGATTCATCGAGGCCTGGAGGAGAGCAGGGGTCAGCGTGGGTGGAAACAGAGGTGTCATGACCTTTCGGGCCAGTTCCTCACTCCCACAAAGCCCCTTTCCCTCCAATCTGTCCCTGATGACAACCCTGACACCCAGGCTGTGTTCTGCCCATTTCACAGATGAGGCCACTGCAGAAGAGCACAGGGCAGTGTCTCTCAAAGGGTGGGCCCCAGAACAGCAGCAGCAGCCTCACCAGGGAACTTGTCAGAAATGCAAGTCCTCAGGCCCCACCCCATACCTGCTGAATCAGAAACTCAGAGGTGGGGCCCACCAGTTTGTAGTTCAACAAATCCTACAGGTGATTTTAATGCTCCTTTAAGTCTGAGAACTAGTGATATAGGGGCTAAGAAAAAGGGGCTTTGGAGACAAGGAGACCTGAGTGCTAATAGAATTGCTCTGTGCCTCAGTTTCCTCACCTGTAAAATGGGAATGATAAAAGTACCTACCTTCTAATCATGTGTGTATTAAATGGCACGACTTATGTCAAGCATCTGACCCTTGTCTGGTTGGTGGTAGACAGTCAATAACCGCTGTCATATTATTATTGCCAGAGTCTTTGCCATGATCTGCAGGCCCTGCCTTTCCAGCATCATGTCCTGGCATAGCCCCCTGGTTAATACTCCAGATGCAGGGCACTAACTCTTTGCAGCACCTGGAATGCTTTTCGAGCTCAGGGTCCTTGCATGTGCTATTCCTTGTGCCGGGACTGTTGTTCCATTTCCTTCACGCCCGTTTTCATCTCCTTCCAGGAATCTTTCCATAACTCTCAGTTGGGCTGGGGGCCTCTCCTCTTGCTCCCACTGTGCCCTAAGCCTCCACAAACCCCTGCACTTGAGCATCGGTCTCTCCTACTTTATTGCAGACGCTTCAAAGACCAGGCCTTAACCATTTCTCTCTAACCCCTAGCCCGTGCCTGGCACAAGGTAAACACTCAGAAATAAGAAAAATATCTGAGTGCTTACTGTGTGCTAGGCAAAGTTTTAAGGGCTTTACACATATTAACACATTTGATCCTCACCAGGTATCTAGGAGGTAGGGGCTATTGTTATCCCTGTTTTATAGATCGGAAAACTGACACAAACAGGGTAAGTGGCTGGCTCACTTTGAAGGAGCTCCTGCCCTCCAGACCTGGGTCCTCAGTTGGGGAATGTGCATGTGTGAGTGATCAATAGCTCTTCCTCATTCCCTCTGTGACCTTAATTACGAGCACTGGGCTGGGAGTTCGTGAGCCTGGTACTCCCGGGCTACGGGCCCTTGCGCAACTTCCTTCCCAAGTACACCGAAAGTGTTGGGCTGCCTGCCTCCCAGCAGACCGGACACTGAGCTGCAAACGCTAGTCTCACAGTGATGGGCTCATTTTGTCCATTTCACGAGGTCAGAGCTGCCTTTCCCATTTCACAGCCGGAGAAACAGAGCTGGTGAGTGCTGGAGCCGGGCCTGGAACCCAGTGTGAGAGTCTGACTCCAGCCCCGAATCCCTGCCCTTACCCAGGGATCACCCCGAGCCTGTCCCCAGTGTGTTCCAGCTCCCCTCTCTGGGAGGGACGTCCTGACTCACCTCTCCCCTCCCAGCCATGCGGTCAGAGGCTCTCACTTCTCTGAGTCTGTCTGCAGTGTGTCCTTTCCCATCGGTCTGGGCTCCCTGAGCCTGCCGGCATCCCCTCTCTGATGGGAGCCCCAGGGTGGGGCTGTGTCACCCCCTTCAGTCTGGCTGGGGCTTCTACTTCTCTCAGGGGAAGAAGGGAAAAGGACACCATGGTGGGCCCTATTCCGAGACTGCACAGGTCACTTCCTAGCTCTGTGCTTCAGTTTCTGCTTCTGAAAAATGGGTTTAATAATAGCCTTCCCGGGCCCTGGGGCCAGGGAAGATGAAGGAGATAGAGTGGGCGTGGCCTGCCAGGCCTCCCTTCTGTTTACACAACACAGCCTCCCCCCGCCACCCTGGCGGCCTCTGGGGATGCTGCGGCCATGGGGGACCCCCTTCGGGGTGCTCGGACCCTCCGGGGTCATCTCGTCTATCCCTCTGCCCAGCACAGGACCTGGTACATGGCAGACGCTGTATAAATACTTGTTGTCTGACTAACCGACTGATAGACTCCCAGGTTCTTTTTCCTTTTCCTCTCCCCGCCCTCTGCCGGCGGGACACCACACCTAGCCCCCCTTAAGCCCAACTCTTCCCCGGCCCCACCCACCTCTCAGCCAAGCTGCCACCTTCCCGGGGGTCCAGGTCTCTACCGGCTCCATGGCCGAGCTCCGCCCGCTCGGATCGGCGCCCGCTCCGTCCCGCCGGCACAGGAATTTCCGCTCCCAGAGCCCAGGCCTGGGGAGGGGCCCACCTGGGCCCGGGGCGGAGCTGGCGCGTACCTGAGCCCACGTGTCCGGCCAGGTGAGGCGCTGCGACAGCCATTGGCCGGCGCCCGCCCGCCTCCTGCCCCGCCCTTCAGGCAGCCTAGGGCTTTGGCAGCTGGGCGCCCGGCCAGGGAGCCGTGTCATACATAGGTGTATGACTCCAGCGACCTCAGAGCCAGCCTGAGATCCCGCCCCAAAGTGACCTCAGAACACAGGGTGGGACCCTGACCCTCAGGCTCCCAAAAAGGGGCCACAGAGGAGCGGTAAGCGCAGTAGCAAACCACAGAGGTTAGGGGGTCAGGCCCCTGAGTGTCTATGCCAGATCTTGTTAGCTGTGTGACCTGGGGCTGACCCTAACCCGGATGCCTCAGTTTCCCAGTCTGTAAAACGGATATAATAGTTCCCACTTGATAGGGCAGCTGTGCAGAGTATCTGAGTGAATAGCTCTAAAACTTTTAGAACTGGGGTTTTTAGCCCTCATCTTTTATTTTGCACTATGAAGCCCTTTGGTATCTGGTGTGTCCTATGAACCTTTCTCAGAATAATGCTTTTAAAAGCAGAAAACAAAATGCTCGTGATTACAAGGAGAACAATTATTATCAAAATATATTTTAAAACACAAATGTATGCCAGGTGAAGTGGCTCACGCCTGTAGTCCCAGCAACTCAGGAGGCTGAGGCAGGAGGATCACGTGAGGCCAGGAGTTTGAGAACTAGCCTGGGCAACATAAGTGAGACCCTATCCCTAAAAATAAAAATAAAAACATTAGCTGAGCGTGGTGGCACATGCCTATAGTCCCAGCTACTCGGAAGGCGGAGGCAGGAAGATCCTTGAGCCCAGGAGTTCCAGGCTGCAGTGAGCCATGATCTTGTGCCACTGCACTCCAGCTGGGGCAACAGCAAGATCCCATCTCTAAAAAACTAAATAAATAAATGAAATAAAAGAAAATAAAAACACAACTTTATGACATAGTAATTTGTGTTTATTAACATTAAATAACAAGACTGGCAAATTAAATTGTCCTGTTTTAATGACATCAATGTGTTTTTGCTCAGCTTGAATAAGAACGTTAAACTGCGGGTGGTCTTTGACTCACCTTCTCTCATGTTGATTAGCAAACAACTAAAGACAAGAGATGCAGAAGAGTGATGGAGAAGATGGAGCGAGAAAGGCAGATTCACCATTTGGTCACTGAACCACTAATAGGCACAAAGGTGCCCAAACAATGGCAGCTACATCACAGGAGTGTCTGCAACAGAGAGGTGATCGGGTGCAATTTAATGGTGGGTTAATAATTACCATGGTTTTGGAATAGTTATGAGCATAAATATTTTGAGATACTTGCAATAACAACGTGATATGAAAATATCTGTGATTTCTATTGGTGACAAAGCCAAACATACTGGCTATTACTTCAAAATATATAGAAGGAAATGGTAAATTTTGGTTAGAGGTTAGAGAAAATAAAAACATAATTTTTTCCCATCCTAGTTTATGGATCCCCTGAATTCTGAACTCCAGAGTAAGAGCTTTCATCTCAGAAAAATATCTGACATATACTAAATGTTCATCGTCGTCATCATCATCATCATCTCAGGCCAGGGGACTCCCAGGACTTTGAAATCAGATGGAATGAGTTCCACACTCAATTGCTGTGTGACTCAGCCCAATCTCTACACCTCTCTGAACCTGTTTCTTCCTTTCTAAGAGCGGGATACCTATACCTTAGAGCTGTGAGAACATCCTCTAAGTACTTTGAAATCCAAAACAAGGGGTAGATCTGAGTTATTATTGCTTTAATTCTGTGGGAAAGAGCCTGGGAGGCCATCTCAGAACCTGCCCCTCCAACTGTGTCACCTACTTCAGAATTCTCTACCAGTGAGTGCCCCAATACCTGGCCTTAAAAGCCTGTCACAATCTTACCTGTAACCAGAGACCCAAGTCTGGATTTGGTCCACACATGGCCCACGTAGTTGTCATCATTTAACAATTTCACATACAAACTGAGATGTCCAACTTCTCTGGAACTTGGCCGCTCTGGCAATCCCATCCCACCTTCACACTTGGCATGGAACAGCAAGAGTGGATCAGCAGCTTCCTTCTTCAAGTGGGAGAGACTCCAGCTCTCTGGGTCCCGCAGGCCTTGCTGCCTTTGTCAATCAGTGGGCTCCAAATTTGCGACACCCTCCTCACTTCTCTGGCTTTGTCCTTTATTATCTCATTTATTTATTTTCATAAACCACATTGTACATCTGGCTTTGTCCTGTGCCTCCTATCCTCACACCCTGTACTGCGTCCCTCGAATATTCTGTGCTGCATCCTCCTTAAACATTTTGCCTCTTTGTACAGTAGCCTCCCCAAGCCACTCTGGGAAAGTCCAATAAATTCTAATAGAGCCTTTGTCATGGTGTTTGATAGACACTGGTCCTGATTTCATCAAATACCTATCCTGAGCTGGCACCAGATACAGAGGTGAGAACCCAGCCAGCCCCCGCCCTCCCTGAACTCACACTCCTGTAGAGGAGAAACGACAGGAACTCCCCACCGCTCTCTTCTAACCATTCACTCGCTAAAAAGACTGGGGCCCTAACAACCACAGCAGTGCCTTTACTCTGTGCCCCCAGCACCTGACACGGCTACACAGTTAGGGGCACGAGTAAATGGCAGCTTCTATTTCAAAGGATTTTATGAACATAAAGGTTGTACATATTTGCTGTAAAAATTTCAAAGGTTATTAAGTGAGAGGAGCACATCCCCTTTTCCCAGAATGTCTCTGTCCTGTTCCCTAGTAGGGGTTACTGTTAAGTTTTGGGTATTCTTCCATTTTCTCTATATGCAGATATTCTACATACTACTTTGCAAATTGCACTTTTTCATTTTATAATTGGTACTAAATGAGATAATATATGTAAAGTGCTTCGAACAATTCCCAGCACAGTCAGCTAGTATTTTTTAACATATCATGAACAGCTCTCTTAACACATTAACTGCCATGTGAGTTGTATTTAACTCATGCTAGTCTTGAGTCTGGGGCCTTGTGAAGCATATGAAGACTCAATTCTCCGAAATAAATTCGGTAATTATGTCGTGAGTCACATACAACTCAATTGGCATGCAGTGTAAAAACTGATTCTAGCGCCTAGTGAGTTGCATATAACTCACACACAGAAAACAAAAGTAACAAATTTTTCATTAAATTAGAAAGGATTGTTTTATTTTCAAAGTTTTTATTCTGTTTTTGTAATAAAACACTGTGGCCCCAAGAAAAATAAAATTTTTTGCTAGTGTGGCAATGTGTTAAGAAAATTTTCAAAAATTAGTCTATATTCTACAAACTATTCTCAAGGCAAATATACCCCTTGGTATCTCATGCACAGATGCCATCCTAAAGCAATATT